CAGAGACTCGATTCGCGTTAACCCCGCCCCCTAACTTCGATGGGTGAGTTTGACAGATTCTTTTAATGGTTTCGATGCACTGCGACACATGACCATGAAATAATTAAATGCACACTGAAATAATTATATATATATATATTTTAATAAAATGAAGACGTATTTTATTAAATTAATGACACATTTATATATCTAATTCCTTATTTATTTAATGAATTATACATTTAATTAATTGTTTATCGTTGTATTTATTTATTTAATTGTGGCACTTTATATTAGTGACGTGTTTTTACTTAATGAATGACACATTTATTTATTTAATTCCACATTTAATTCATTATTGACACATTTAATTATTTATTTAATGCTGTATTTATGTATTTATTTTTGGCACTTTTTTGGCAATTTTTATCCTCAGCCTCTTCCCTGCTTTTCTATAAAAAGCAGCCTAACATTATAGCTTTTATTTAGAGTTTTACCAAAATAAGCAAAAAAATGTACAACATACTTTTCATTTGTAAAACTATTGATAACATGCATCATCTCTCATTTCACTTACAATAATTCTTTAATATATTCTCGATAGAATACATTGAAGTTACGTTGTGCTTGCTGCGTGATTAAATGTGGAAAATGTTCAATGGGTATGAAATCATCACTAAGCTCTTTAAAATTACTTTGAAACCTACATTTATGTCTAAAACAGCAAGCAGCAGTTTACATAATTCAAACCATTCACAATAGGCACATTTCCAGATTTATATTCACAATGAGCAGAATAAAAATCATGAATCAATAAAGTATTTTCTTGATCAGAGGAAATCATCTTCATAGAAAGACAAGATATAAACTGTTCATCTTTGGAGGTTTTCGATCACAATTTCTCACTGCAGGAAACAGTCAGAGTGTAACAGGTGCGTCTGTGTTCCCATCTTAAGGTGAAGAGTGTTTGACGCTGGCTTTGAAGGGTCGCTGCCAGAACCAGCTGAAGCGTCGGCAGACAGGTCCACAGAGGCTGTTTGGTCCCAGACGGATGGCGGCTGGGACGCTGCGTGGTGGCACCGCTGGGAGCCGCCTGTTAGAACAAGCCATTGGAGGTTTCTGTGAGGTCCACTTTCTGCCCCTGGTGGTTGCCATCGGAGACAGCAGCATGTCACAGAGACTCAAATGTGTTGGTATGTATGCAGTCCTCCATCACCAACAAAGCATTTAAAAAAGTATTTTCTTAGTTTCTCTTATATCATTTGCTTGAGGATGTGATAAAGTAAGCATTTGCTTTTTTTCCTCTTTCCATCACCTTAGCCTGAAATCACGAAGTCTAATTTTTTAGTAATGTCAAATCTTGCATTTTTACATGAAATTCCACAGACTCTAAATAAGGGGCACTACATTACAAATTGCATTTTCTTTCAAGACGTGCACTTTTAGGGTGTTGCGAGTGATCTGCGTGAATGTGAAGACATGCAAACCAAATTTGTTCCATCCATTAAAATGAGAAAATTGTGTGTTCAATAGGCAGTTTAAGAATGATGTAAAAGAAAGATGAGATTCAAAGCCATGTATTTGAAGGTAATAAGGATTAAAAAAAAAGAAATTCTACCAATTCTTATTGTATAGTCGACTCTACCAAAGTGCAAAAAAAAAAGTACAAAAAATAAAACATAACTGTGCTTTGCGTACAGCAATGTCAAATCCAGGGAGAAAAAAAATCCCTGCCTCTAGGAGATAGGCACTTTCACCCTGCCTTCAAGTCTTATTTTCAAGCTCTTTTGTTAAATTTTGTTTTTATAAATTCAATTCCATTCAATTCAGTTTATTTCTATAGCACCAATTCACAACACATGTCATCTCAAGGCACTTTCCAGTTCACTAGATCATCCAGTCAGAGTGATTCAAAGTTTTCTATCTAAGGAAAACCAGTTGATGGCCTCGACTCATTGACTCAAAGGCAATACCTCACACTAAACATGCTTGTAGCGACAGTGGAGAGGAAAAACTCGCTTTTAACAGGAAGAAACCTCCAGCAGAACCAGGCTCAGTGTGAGCGGCCATTTGCTGAGGTTCAAGCACACATAGAAAGAGAAGCAGAGATACAAAAGGCAACTGTCAACCAGCTCTACAGGCAGCCCAGTTCAGGAAACACACCGCCAGGCAGAAGAGCTCCGAGCCAGCTCCCATGTCAGAGGACAAAGAGAGCACAGCCAGTTAGTCACGGTCAGGAAAACAGGACTGCACTAAAAAAAACAGGCCGAGCTAAAACATCTATAAACAAAGGTGCTGATGGCTGCAGCACAGCTGATATTTCTCTGCAGGAAGAAGTCACAGCCTAACAGGAACAGACCAGATAAGGCTACTTTAAACATGCCACAATATTTAAGTTCAGTATTTACTTTTTGTTTTCGATTTGGTTTAATTATATAATGACTGTGTGCCGTAATTTCATGTTCAGTCGAATAATAATAAGAAAAATAGAAGTTCAGAATAAACCCAACACTTTTAGCTTTTAAAAAACATAGTGAGAAGCAGTTTAAAAAAATTAAATACTATTTACATTCCATAGCACCAGTTTATTCAAAATTCATTACATGAAATTTTAATTCAAGTCTAATTATTTATGTGATATCCTTTAAAATACACCTGAATCCAGACTGAGTACAGTCAGTTAGATGTGGCCACATTTAGTCATTCGTATAGTTTTACCTTAGTTTTTGACTTTTAGCTTATGGTAGTTGCATTTATTTTAATGTCTGGTACAAGAAAATATGGAGACAACATGCAGACAACCGATGCCAAAAAAAGAGGACATTAAAAACTACACTGCATAAAAAAGGAGACTTTAAAGGAAATGGTCAGCAGCAAGCGTTTAACTCAGATTGGATTTCATGTGATGAAGACTGACATCATAATTGGCAGTGTAAACAGACCAGGGCCTATCTAGGTTATTTAATGCAGCTTGTGGGTACTCTACCGGTGGGTATACCAGTAAAGTACATTACAATGTAAATCACAGAAACCTAAGAACCAGAAGAGCAGGTCTGTTTTGCTACAAATATCAGGAATTTTAGGTGGTGGAAAGCATAGAAATGGGCACACTAAGACTGATCCTACCTGATATCAGGACGTAGTGAAGACATGTGATAGCTTCCTGTTCCCAACATGTCCTCCTTCTCCAACAGACAACCCAGAGTTTGCACGGTGTCCTCAGCAGCTGCCCATGAGCTCTCCCAGTCTGCCCGTCTCAAGCTGTGAGCTGAATAAGAACACCAGGCGCTGCCACCAGCAGCCTTTGGCCACACACCTGTCCTGTCGCCTTTATCAGACGTGTGACCATGCTGTGCTCATCTCAGGTTGGACCTTTTATTTGTTTCTTCTGTACAAGTCATCAACTCATGATGACTATTTTCTATGTTTGCAGAACTTCTCTTCTGCACCAGTTTCTCTGGTTGCAGTAAAGTTTCTATTTGCAGCACTTATACATCCGAACATCAAAGATGATGTGCAAAGGCATCTGTGTGTTTGCACATCAGCATAGAAATTAGATTAAAAAGACAGCAATTCTCATTTATGTCTGGCATTAGCTAAGACCCAACATTTAGTGTGTCGGGTCAGTAAAGCCAGACATACACTGTACGATTTTTTGCCCTTTTTGGGCTGATTTTCCAGTCGTGCGAGAATTTTGTACAGAGGGTAATGGGGTGCAATCAAGCTCTGACGACCAATTCCTAATCAGGAATCATAAGGTGAGGAGAAAATCAAAGATGTTTGAAATTCATTCGGCCGTCGTAAGGTGGTTGTGGGCAAATCGCGGAGTTTGCATGCAAGGATTCTACTTCTGCCTCTCAGATGAAAACACAGAAGTATGGCGGGGGGGCGAGTGAAATTAAGTTCTTTTTGTAAAATTGACAGACCGTAGTAGCCACGTTTGCTCAGCCATGTCTTTGTCCAAATACGTCATCACCTTTTCTTTTTAGGGCTTTCAGCACAAAAAATTGCAAATATTGCCAAGGCAGCGCGTTTAACTCTAGTGAGCTTCATATTTACCAGGAGGCACCAACACTTCCGTCTTTTCCCTCTTCTACTTATTTTGCTTCTGGATAGACGAATCCGAGTAGCGCTATCTCTCCGCGGAGCTGATTCCAGCGTAGTTTTTAGACGTACAGTGTGAGCAGGTAAATAGCTTCAGAGTCGCGTCGCACAGTGTGAGAACATACATCGTGAGCTGTGAACTTTTAAAACCTGCAGATTCGTTGTACAGTGTGAGTTATAGCTGCGTGCAACGATTGAAAATATCATACAGTGTATGACTAACTGTGTCTGTTGGTGTCTGTGTATGCAGGTGGATGGCAGCCTCAGATGACATTTCAGCATCACCTTCAGAATCTTCAAAGGTTCTACAGAGTGCTCCGAAATAACGGCTTCCATAAAGACCACATCAAGACTTTCTTCGCCAGCAGTGGACAGCTTCTTGGTAGAAAGTTACAGTCACTCAGAATTGTAGAAAATGATACTTTAAGGTGCAGTGCAGGTTGGGATAAAAAGTGGACAGATCTTTTAAGTTGAAAGGGTGCTTACCCCTCTGAACACCAGAGGTTGAGGGGGGCTTTGTGGATCCTAGTGGGTTGGAGTCTTATTAGTTTGTAGCTGGCTTGAAGACCCTGACTCAGCGAACCCTGAAACTTGTGCTGCTGGGGCAGCATGAACAGGTGTCTTCCTATGGAGGCGAGTGTCTTAGTTGTATTTATGATCATTTACAGTGCTATGAGGATGAAAGTCTGCACGTGCGTACATGTACCACTTGAACGTATAGAAACATCTAACTGCAACAGATCACACTCTATAACGCAGTTATACAAAATTTGCAGCATCTTACTGCAAAAACTAAAGGACCATAGGTACCTTAAGAAGTATAGTCTGTAGAGAGCTGTTGCATCTCCAGTTGAGTTTGTTGTGTAGGTCCTCAAAGTATTTATACTCTTCTGCTACCTCTACCTCCATGATGTCAAGAGTTTTTTACTTGTTCCTGTTTCTCCTGAAATATGCGCTCATCTCTCTTGTTTTGTCCATATTCAGGATTAGATTATCCTTTTTATACCATGCAACAGTTGGGTTCACTAGCTGAACTCAGCTTCTTGTCCATCTCTGATGCACCAAATGACTGTGGAGCCACTGAGTATTTCTGCAGATGACAGAACTCTGTCTTGTACTTAAAGTAAGAGGTGTAAAGAGTAAAAAGGAATATTGAGTGTACTGTCCCCTGTGGTGCTTCTGTGCTGCTGAATACGTGATTAGACGGTCTACCCTTCAGTCTAACAAACTGCAGTCTGTTTGTCAGCTAGTCTTCAGGTTTGTCAGGTAATTGCTGATGGCTCTACCTGAGTCTCCTGGAGGGTCTTACAAAGTATGTCAGGCTGAATCCTGTTATATACATAAGAGATACCAAAGAATGTGATCCGCGTGGTGCTTATCTAAATGACAGTGGGCTTGTTAAAGCAGGTGTTTGATGGCATCATCAACTCTAATTAAACAGTGATATGCAAACTGTAGGGGGTTGATAGCTGTTTTTTTTACTTGTTGAGGTGAACAAACAGAACTCTCTCTGGGACCTTCATGTTGTGGAAACAGGTCTATATTCACTGAGAACTGTTGGCTGAGTCTTTTTTGGCACTGGAACAAGGCAGGAGGTCTTCCACATCACTGAAACTGTCTCCTGTGTCAGGCTAAGATTGAAGAGGTGCGTTAGAACCCCACAGGGCTGATTTGCACAGACCTTTAGGACTGGTGGCTCCTCCACCTTTTTAATTAGAAAACTATTTTTGCTCCTCAATAATTGAATGAATAATTATATAAGCACAAAACACATTTTTTATGGTTTACAATCCAACAGTTTAGGTGACTCAACCATCGTATTTTTTGAGAGTTATATTTCAACTTTTTTTTTTTTGGAAACCCCAGAGATTTCCTGAAATTTCTTTATAACACTACTTCTATAGAAGTGTGAGCAGTATGTGAACTTTAGCTATAGCACAACTTATTCCTATTCCTAAATATGGTACACACACATATATATGGCAACAAGCCATACAATATTGCCTGTAAACAGAAGATAAAGTTTCATTTCTAATTCTGACACAACTATGACAGTTGAAAAAATAAGCCACATGATGCGTTTATTGTAAATAAATACATTTTAGGTGGTGCGCAGTAACAGGAGACTGTGAACACCACTGTCTGTTATTTTATATTAGGTGTGTTAATAATCTCATCATCAGACTGTTAATTGCAGGACTAGATATTTTTGGCAGAAATAGAGGGCCCCAAAATCAAATTTTGCTTAGGGCCTCATGAAGGCTTGGGCNAGGACTAGATATTTTTGGCAGAAATAGAGGGCCCCAAAATCAAATTTTGCTTAGGGCCTCATGAAGGCTTGGGCTACTCCTGGTCGAGGAAAAGGTCCCGCAGCCATGTTTCCGTAAAACACTAAAGACTGCTTTGCTGATATTCTGGCTGGGTCTAAGCTAGGCTTTGCAGTTCTCCTAACTTGTTTCCTAAATATTGTAAATTGCCTATAATAATTAATGAAAGAGATGGCTTGAATTTCCTGCTCCTCTCTCTTCTCCATTTTCTTGTTCTGTATGCTCACCACCTTCCTTTCAATTCAGCTGGTTCTTACAAAAGTATTTGAAGTATTATTTTAGCTTTAGAGACCTTAATGAGTTGCTCCTTGGTGTAAAAAACAATTCGCTATGGTTGTATATTATCACAAATTACTAAAAATGAAAAATATAAAATAAAATTCTGGTGAAATCCTTCTAGTTGCACAACATCAAACATCAGAGAAGAAAAATCATTGGAAAAATGAAACTTTGATCCAACAATAGTTCTGTTAAAAATGAATATCAGAATCAAGCTACCTTAGCTATTCCAATATGCAGCCAGCAAAGCAGTGCAATTCTAGAATATAATAAAAGTATGTTTCCTAATAAACATTAAATGTAAAACAACATCCATGTTCCTGGAATCTCACAGAATTTATTTCTGTAACAAAAATTTTTTTCGGTTCATTAATATTAAAAATCCTTTGTTTTTTGTAAATATTTTGTCCTTTTGAAATGTTGGCTTCATTTTGGCTTGAACCATGTTTGATATATTATGTCATCGGGGAAATGTGTGGCAATGGATTTTTACTAATATAGTTAAAATTAGATAACTCTAAAACCTTATAAAGTCCACGTTTGATATGTTAAACTTCAAGATTACATTAAATATAATAATTAGATAGTCTAGGAAACATCTCTAAAAAACATTAATTAAGATATACAATTTAAAGCTTTCTACTCCCATGTTTTTTAAATAAAAAGCTGCACTGGTATATAAGTCATCTCAGTCGAATAATACATCATAAAGCTGAAAAAAAAAAAACATATACACTGCAAAAACGATCTAAAAATAAGTACAAAAAATCTTAAATTAAGGGAATTTACTCTTAATTTGAGCTGGTAAATAAGATTGTTTGCCAATGGAATTAGTATTTTTACTCTTAAAACAAGATAATTAGATAATATGCATTTGAAATAAGACAATGCAGTTATTTTTTCTTATTTTAAAAGTAGATTTTCTTGTTCCATTGGCAAAGTGTCTCACTTACCTCCTCAATTCAAGAAAAAAATACTTATTTAAAAGAAAAATATCTTAAAATGTATCCTTTTTATAAGACCCTTTATGACTAAAGCATGATTTAAGGAGCAGAATGACAACTCAGTAGTTCAGCACCGCTGCATCGCCATGTTAAAAAAGACCAACCTATCAATCAATCAAAGTGTTATATTCCAGATAGATTTTTGCAGATACTCGCAAGCAGCCGGAACCAGACATAAATTTGAATTTGCATTCACTTGAATAGCTATGAAAGTCAGAAATTTACAAAAGGAATAGGCTGTGGTTGCCCTTGTATGTCCGTAGTATTGATTTATATTGAATGAAACAGTGAGCCAGTGGAGTTAATGTACAGGTGTGAAGTAAATGTAATGATGTAAGTTGCTGTCTTTTGCATTACTTGCCGTTTATGGAGTTTTTGATTATTTTCTCAGTGAAATTAATAATTTTTGCTTTAACCCCTGCTTTAAGG